CGCCTCTTTCCTGCTGCCGCCATATTTGCCAGTTCGATCTCCTATTCTCAGTGGGAGTGATCAAGATTGGATCTTGATATCAGTCCTTTGTGAAAGGGCTGATTGGAAGTAGTGCTCACGTGTCGTCCAGCTGATTCTTGCGAAGGATCTGGTTCTTTTGAAGAATGTCGTTGATTCTGCTCCATCCTGCACTACGCCATCTTCAGTGGGAGCAATTTTTGGTTCCTTCCTTGAGCGTGAACACCTCCATTGGGAGATACTATTTCTCCGTATCAAGCATATCCCTCTCCTATTGCTTTTGTTCAGATCTGGTTCGGTTCTTGGTTCAAGATTGATCCTTGAAAAATATGATTTTTCTAAAATAGGGAATACGATTCCCAGTAGGATGGAGAGAAATTTTTTGAAATTCGCCCATTCTATTCTGCAAAATTCGGGCATCCATATGATGGATATCTCATCCCTTGAACTCTCTCACATATTCTTACTAAAATCTCCTTACTGACTTAAGCATCGAAGTGTCCTCCTGGGTAAAACCTACCCAGGCACTCTAATCCTTCTCTCTTTACAGTCCCTTTCAGCTCGGACCTACAGTTTCCAGCTCGGCAATATAGCTCGGCATTGCTAGATCATAACTTGGTTTGGGCCCAATCACTGACATAAGGGAGCGAGCAGATAGCCCACCCCGGGTAAAGCACCGCAAATACTCTGACTGTTCTCTTGCAACTCGGCCTACCGACCTCAACAGCCTGACGTCCGATCTGTCCTCCAACAAGGAACTACCAGATCATGCACCATCAAGAATTAATAGCAAAGAGATGCAATACCACCAAGACCCTATCCACGCTTGTCCTCCATCAAGGAGAAAAGCCATTTGCTATATGAGGTCGTACACTACTATTTGGCTACAACATGTTCTTTGTAGATTATCATTAAGCACAAAAATGATCCAAAGGGTCCCCTATTGGATGGATGGTTTAGATTAGCCACATCAAGGATCCACATTGAAGAAATAAACTAGGACATGTAGGGATTCTAGGTAAGCTCCCAAAATTCCCTGATTGAGAAATATTTTGAGTATATATCCACAAAATGCAAAATCCATGGCATAGTCGTCAAGGTGACGCCTAGGCGGGCACCTAGGCGACAAGGCGCCCTTTGAGGCTCACCTCGCCTAATCGTCAAGCAATTTTCTACTTCATACTACAATATACTTTTTTATTCATTCTTTTTTGAGACTATAATTATAAAATAGACATTATTAAACTAAAATAATCATTTTGTGTGTTTATATACTAATTTCTTTTTATTATTTTCTTATTCACAAGGGTTTAATCAACACAAACATTGTTAACCTGAACCAATAAGTATTGAACCCTCAAACATTGCTAAATGTAGTATTGCTAAATGTTGTATTACTACTACTACTACTACCAATGCTTTTTATTTTCCTCTTTTCCTATAACAAAAACAAGGGTTCAACCCCTATATTTTTTTAATTTTATTTTCATTCCTCCTTTTCTTCTCATGAATATGCTGATTTTCTATACTTTAATATGAAATTTACACTTTTCTTATGAAAATCATGAATAATAATTAAAGAAATATGGTTATGGTACCTAAGGAACTACCCTAGGATCTATGTTTTTAACATAAAAAATCCATTGCCTAGGTGACAAGGCGCCCCCCAATCGCCTAAACTCGCCTTGGCGCCTTGAAAACTATGATCCATGGTCAGTGATTCATGCTAACTTCTCATATTGTGGCTCTTGGATCCCCCCCCCATCTAATTTTGTACATTTACACTTACAACTACATTGAACAGTTAAAGAAAAAGGCTGAAAAACTCTACACTTAATTTGTAAGAACATGGCATAAGGACAAGAGTTCATACAGAAAGGGCACGCACTTCTGTTTTGGAAAGGAAATGATCCCCATTGTGATTGTAACTGAGCAAAGCTGGCCTGCAGGGTAGGCCAAAAGTTCTTCTGAATTTTCAATACTTCCAAAACAGTTTCCATGCCAGCTTTGGAAGGTACAACACGATCCAATTCACATCCAGTACTTTCACCAAGAAGCACCTTTAAACAAAAAACTTGATCAATATTATAAACCAAAATTCATGACCAATGTTTGCATTATGGAACTGATCTTCTAACATGGATAAAATATGGCAAAACAAATTTAAAAGGTGCAAACAATCTACATAATTAAAAAGATGCAACAAGCATTGAATGAAAAAACTAGAAAACCAAATTTATATGAGAAACCAAAATCCTGGTGCATATAAAGCAGTTTTCCATTTTTCTTCCAATTTTTTATAGAAAAAATATTAAAAAGAAAAAAAAAATAATGTACAAGTGTGAAGATGTAAAATTGAAGGAGTTTTTATAGACCACAAAGGTACTCTACACAGGTTAAATAGGTCATGAGGAATCATCCAAGATGAGCTTATCCCTACTTTAAAGACAGTGGGAAGTTCATTTGGGTAAAGCAACTACAATGTGGAAAGGGATTCTCAGGTGGCTGTAGGATGGTTGCTTAGTAATAGTCCAGGCACCCTGGCATCGCAGCAGTCAACATAAAGAAGGTAGATATCTAGCAAGAAACCTAAAACACATTCTGCTGGGTACACATTATCAGCAAACACTTTCTCATAACAGGTAATAACAAAAAAGAGATATACGGAGATTTCCCCAGGGAATCTGTAATTTATATTCTATAGAAATATCATAGTATGGAGGGTAGCCCAAGAGCTAGAACTTGACATTGTAAAAAGGTGCATTTGGCACTATATTCTGACTTGTTTATTTGTATTTTCTGTTTTCTTTCTCTATAATCAATAAAGATTAGCTATTGGCAAAGAAAATGTACAAGTTGCAGTATTAACAGAAGAATTTATATGCAAAATAAGACCACATCTAATTGATGTGGTCAGCAAAATGGTTGTAGAATAAATCGAGAAGTATCCTTCCTTTTTTTCTGTTTATTGAATAGTTTTCTGTTTTATAGGTAAATGGGGTCTAGCTTGATAGTTATGTCATTTGTGCCTTACTTGAGTTGTCTTTATCATTTTATGATCATAGGGTAATAGAATAGGAATTACATTTTTCTTTGGGCTCAATTTATAATTTGGGTGAACAGTAACCCAAGCTCTATTATTTCTCTATAAATGCATCTTTTTTAAGATAAATAAAGAAAAAAAATTTATTGCTAAGATAAAAAATTACAGCTTAAATATGGTGACAAGAGGTCGCCCCCAAAAGAAGAAAGAAACAAGATAAAAACATAGCAAACTTCAAAGAAAACAATACAAAAAATACAGATTTTTAAAACACCCAACAAATATAAAAAATTGCACCCAACTCTTTTTCTTTAATCCATGAAATTCTGGCAGAGAATCAACACCCAACAAATCACTGAAGAGCTGATCCGAGCCACCACCTCTTCCACTCTTTTCTTCTTATTCTCGAATACTCTTCTATTTCTTTCCTCCCATACTTCACAACACACGGCAAATGGACTGCAACTCCACATCAATTTGACTTTAGTACCACCCTGAATTCTTGGCCAGCAACCAAAGATTTCAGACTTATCTGAAATTGACCACATATCCACCTTAAACAGCTTGAAAAAGTAGAACCATATTGGGGATCTGAATCTGCATTGGTAGAATAGATGAATAATGTTTTCCGCTCCAGACAAGCAAAGAGCACATCTAGTTGGAAATTGAAATCCTCTACCCTTTAGGATGTCCTGAGTGAGTCATTAAGTACCCCCTGGCTATTAGCCGGGCAAAGGCTTCCACCATTGGGGGCACTGGTTTCCCCCACACTCCCCTTGATTGAATCAGCTTCCACCAGGTTTCTGATCAGAATGGAGTACATTGACTTGACTGTAAATTTTCCATCCTTGCATTCCTTCCACCATCTCTATAAATACACCTCATAAGCCATATTTTGGACTTAGAACAAGAGAATGAATTGAAAGAGTTTTTTTTTTTTTTGAAGTGGTGCAAGTCTCATCTATTTCTTCTCAATGTAAACCTTTATTCCTGCTTTTAGTTCTCTTTTTTCTCCTTATTTCTATATCCTCTCTCCTCTTATAATTCTCTATTACAAGCATGGTTCAAAGTATTGATACGCCTCTGTGTATCGGCGAAGGCATATCGGTACTTAGATTCAGGCGGAAACATGTTTCTTTTTAGTTTTATTCAAAATTTGGTTTTTGGGGAGTTAAATACACGTATTTTTCAATAAAAAGAGTGGGGTCTCGAAAAACCTGTAAACAGGTATATCGGGACCCAAAAGATACGATATACCCTGTATCGGTGTATCGTATTGAAATTTTGAACCTTAATTACAAGTTTAATTAAGATTTATTGGTAAGAACCTCTTTTAGCTCTCAACAAGGCTTCAAATCACTCCTTATGACACTCCATATTACAACCTAATTAAGTTTCCCATTATCTTTTTCAATTTCCTTGGTATCAATTTATCCTGGTCCTTTAGTTTTCTCCTTGGAAAGTTTTCATCTTCCTATGCAAGATCAGTTCAGATTCCTCTCAAATTTAGCTCTTCCTCATTATTCTCCATTATAATTCTTCGTACCAAATTTCAATTCAACACTCCAACTATGCAGAACCTCCTCAATATAAGGGGGTATTCAGTACTGTGGAAATAGCATACCTGGTTTCAATCCATGCCACTGTCACAAGCGTGGATTGAACTGGGCTAATATTGCAATTTCTCATCCCACGGTTAAACCTCATGGATTACTCCACACCACAATGGATTAAATTATTACTATAGTGCCATAAATGATTAAGATATTTTATTTAAAATTTTAATGTCAATACATACATACCACAGTCCAGAATAACTACAGAGTGTAGTGTAGTTCAAATCATGTGGTTTCAACTGCACCATAGTGCGGCCATGTAGGTTCAAACACAGAACAGGAGATAAAGACCACATGGATTACTCCACACCACAATGGATTAAATTATTACTATAGTGCCATAAATGATTAAGATATTTTATTTAAAATTTTAATGTCAATACATACATACCACAGTCCAGAATAACTACAGAGTGTAGTGTAGTTCAAATCATGTGGTTTCAACTGCACCATAGTGCGGCCATGTAGGTTCAAACACAGAACAGGAGATAAAGACCACATTAGCAAACACCCCCTAAATTGACCCATGCATCTCCACATTTTAGGTCTGCACACAAAATCTATTCCTAAACCTATTTTCTTGGTTTTGACGAATTTCATCGATCTAAGAGAGAAATTGACATTGTTGAATCTGACAGAAACCTTTATGGATCAGTTGTGTATATTATGGAGTTCCAACCTTTTCGAGTCATTCCTTTAATCAGCCCACCTAACTCTTGTAGGACCACCCATCCTGCATCATTAACATGGTTTGCAAAGTGTTGAGATGATGATAGATGATTGCCGAGGGGGAGGGGGGCGGAGGCACCTAGGCATCACCTAGGTGATGGAATGTTTTTAATAAAAACCGTGAATCCAAGGGTAATTCCCTAGGTTGCATAACAATCAATAACCATCTTTCACAATTAATGGTCTATAATCTTCATAAAAATGCATAAACTTCATTTAAAACATAAAAAAAAAATTAATATATTCATGAAAAAATGGAAAAAATAAAAGAAATTTCAAAAAATAGAGGGACTGAGCCTCTATTCTTGTCCTAGGAAGAGAAGAAAGAAAAGAAATGAAGAAAGAAGAAGAAGAAGATCAATATGTCTTGATTGGACAATATTTTGAGTTCTTCTATATTTATTAAGTCTTCAAGGGTTCGGGATAGTATACATCTTGGTTGAACCCTAACAAATAAGGAAAATAATAAAAAGAAACTAGTATATTAACTCAAACTAAATAATTTAGTTTAACAATTTGTTATTTATTATTATAATCTAAAAAATTAAGAATATAAAAGTACCCAAGAGCACCATGTAAAAATATCCCTACAATTAATAGAAGACATGTCTTCGCTGGGTCACCTTGGTATTACCTGATTGTCATAGTTAGGTAGTACATACTAGAGGTAGTCAATATTTTATAGTGGATTATTCTTGTATCGTTGGGTGTAACAATAGATGGCATGCCTTCGGTTGGTTATTTGGTTTTTCATTTGATTGAAAGCAACATGTATGTATTTTATTGGATGATTGAATTGTTGTGACTATTTGAACCCTGGAAAACCAAATCACCCAACACTACTAGGTGATTTGAGTTATCCTTTGACTTATAGCATGTCTAGGTCTTTTAAAGACCACATGAAAGTATCATTTCTTAATATTCCTATTACGGTAGTGGATCCTAGAGATCGCCTCCATTTTATCATATGATAGCAGGTAGTGTATCACTTGGGGTAGCAACAACAAACATGCACTCACTGAGTAATTTCATCTTTCATTTGATTGATAGAATGTCTTCATTTGAGGGTTGCAAAAACATCTTGTGACCATGTGGGCAAATCAAAACCAAATCGCCTAGGCACTCACAAGGTGGTTCGGATTTAAATTTGACTGTTAGCATGTTAGTGACTTATTGAAGGATCACAAGAAAGTGTTGTGACTACATGAACTCATTGAAATCAAATCACCTAGGCATGCCCTCACTGGATGATTTGGTTTTTCTTTTGATTGATAGCATTTTAGTGTTTTATTAGAATGTCACAAGAAAGCATTGTGACAATATGGAAACATCATAACACATGTTAGGCTACCTTGGCATTTCTTGATTGTCATACCCCACCTAGGCATCACCTAGGTGTCGCCTTGACAACTATGATCAATAGTTTAATTGACAACCTCCAAGCAATCCTAATAGTCAAAGCAAGAAGATGATATCCATTCCAAACAGTGTTTCAAAAGGCGTGGGAGGCATACGCTTGGAGGCGCGCCTCCCCCTCCAGGCGAGGCGCTCCCAAAACGCCCTAATGTCACAGGTGACTCCTTCATCGCGCCATCAAGCACCTACAGTGAGCCACCCGAGTGCC